GGTATCCATTCAATATATTTTTTATAATGAACAGCATTAAGTTGTGATTGTTGTATAAATTCATCAATATCTTTATTTCCACTAGTCCAATTTTTAAAGTTATCCTTAAATCTTTTAGCATTACAAGATTGACACCAATATTGTCCTGTACCAGGTTCATTACATTCTCCACATATTCCATATACTTGTTTTCTTTTTTCTAAATCTTCCATATAAACTATTTTATCATCTATCTCTTCTGCTGATTCAGTAGTTGAACCAATAGTAGAAATTGTAACATGATACTTTTAAAATAAATGATTTAAAAAAACATTATTATTCAAATTAAAAATTCAATAATGTTATATTATTAAATGATAAAATGAATTGTTTTACCTGATATTCATCATAATAAACATCTTTCCATAAATTTCTATTATTTTCTTTAGAATTCATTTTTGATAATTCCATACTAAATTAATTTGTATTGTATATATGTAGATTACAATTTACTTAGTATTAAAATTCAAAGATAGCGTCAACCATATAATAAAATGAAACTTAAAAAAAATTTTTTTTTAAAATTACGGAGTTCAGACAAATTTATTCAACAAATAAAGCCCTGTGCAACATTGTGTAACATTCAAAATTTTGAATACAAAAATTCTATGCTAAAAATAAAATACTTTGTTACGCTATTGATCGGCATAAAAGAAAAAGGAAATTTTCAATAAAACACTCGATTAAATGAAACTAAATAAAAATAGTTTCAGCCACTGTAACTAGGGAAATTCGGTTCCACATCGGTTCTAATAAATAAAAATTTAAGAGAGCATGTGATGATGATCAATCAGAAAAAATTTTGATTGGCCTAGTTGGTGTGTGATCGTCAGGATGACTCAGTCGGTTCAAAATTGGTTCGAAGTTCAGAACGGTTTTTATGGTTAAAAGTAGTTTTAAGCCCAAGAGATCCAGAATATTTTAAATTTAAGATCGGTTCCAGAATCGACTCGAGTCGACTCATTTTGAACCGATTTCATCCCTACCTGTAACTTGTTGCGTTGCAACAGGACTAATGAGTTTAATCAATATAACAATTATTATTTGAGCAAATTAGATATATTAGTGCTAATTATAAATGCATAAATACAATGAAAATGAATAATAATAAAAATTTGAGAAGTAAATAAAAAAAAATGAATAATAATAATAATAATAAATTCAACTTTAAGTAAAAACTGAAAAAATAATATATTTTTAAAAACAATTGAAACCAATTAAAATCATCCTTTTTTTTATTTTAAAAAAATAAAAAACCAATTTTTTTTCGGTTTGAAATAAATTTTAAAAATTTCGGTCCATAAATAGTTTTCTCATCACCAGCCAGGTCATGTGAATGTCACGAAAAGAAAAAAATATTTTATTTGGTCATGTGATGCCGACTTTGTCCAATCATAGTAGTAGAAAAACACGTTTTCTTTTCACCCGAAGAAAATTTATTAAAATCAGCCAATCATCTTTTAGAAATTGGACAAATTTTTTTAAAAAGAATATTTTCCCGGGCGACAGGTCAATTTTTGATATTTTTTTTCATGAGAAGCTAATGATTTTTTTGCTTGGTTTAAGAACAGGGAAAAGATATTTAAATTCCTGTATTAATTTCAGAATTTCCAGAACCAAAAAAAAATATAATAAGTAAAAAAAAAAGCCCATTATACTTTAACTGGATAAACTGGATAGCTTCGATGATGTGATCTGCTGCGACCAATTGCATCATCCCAAGAGTCCTGAGAGGGGCATTATCTCGTCCAATCAAAATTTCATTAACCGGGAACCACAAGTATCTCATAGATTTGTGCACATGATATTGATAACCATTTTACGGGTGCAGAAGCATCATTCATTTCATGTTACACAATTCCTTACCAGATGAATTTCTTAATTGAAACCATGGGTAAATTTTGCATAACTACTGGATCATTTCTAAAAAAATAATTTAAACCATTTCTCAGTTTTTTCTACTGCTTCATAAATTAATAATTAACCAAAAGTTAAAATAAAATCTTTATTGATTTCATTGATATTGTTTTCATAACTATGTAACATTTGATATTCTATTTTGCTTAATCGATAATTATTATGTCAGTAAAGCTTATAAAATATGAATTTAATAAAATCAAATAAACGTCAGGAAATTTTTAGACGCAACTCACATAAGTTTGCATAAAGTTTCATAAACTTGTGTATACTGTATTTGTAAATTTTACATAAACGAGCTTCAGATGGATAAATTTACTCTCCTCCGCTACGCCCATAACATTTCATGGTAACACTATCTTTTTTTACTCCTTCATCAACTAAAGCAGAATGCTTTGCGATTTTAACAGCAATTATAGTTAGTCCAATTAACAGTGCTGTCTCGATCTACACCAACTCATAAAATTGTATCAACACATAATCCAGTCTTCAACAAAGTTAAGGCACATTCTAACAACATTTACCTTGCGGATGCCGAAGCTAAAAAAGGCCTAGATGTTCCACCTATCATAATTGATCCTAAATTTATCCCTGACGCTACCATGTCACCAATGTGGGACTCGTTAGGGACTATCAACAAAGACATAAGAAAATTCACAAAAAAATATTACTGATGCACTTACATTTGACTCCTTTACCACCAACTCGAAACTTCAAGCAAATGTTCATTAATCACCCTATCTCGGACATCAATTGGCCACTTACACAATCATGGCTCAACCACAACGATACCAAAGACAAAGACACATGCAGTACGGATAAATCCAACAAAACAGCTTTTAAACTGAAATGCCTAAATCACATATTGCCTTGCGGTGAAATGCTAGCATCACACTACCCATCATTATATTCTCCATCTCAATTACCTATCAAATGTCCAATTTGTAAAGATTGCACAATTTGGTGCCGCAAACGCTTGTGGATTTAATCCACGATCATACCAACAATTTTAAAAACACAAAAACGTTTGTCTTGAACTTTATGCTAGCATTACAAACCAAATTATAATCGGCCGTATGGGTTTACTATACAGACGCAATGAAACAATGGGAACTACACAAGGTATTACTACGAAAAAGAAAAAAAATGCTCCGCAGCCAGAGACGGAAATGAAATAAGACTTTGACTCACACAACCCTTCTGATGCTCAACACAAACGCGATGCATCACGCTCACTCCATCGACATCAGAACTTACGATCAAAACAATTGATCGATGATCATTTACGAATTAATAATACCAATGTCAGAATAGTTTTATTCATGACTGTCATGATATGCAGTTGTTTTACAGAAATCATTCACATTTCATTGATTATTTTTCTTTATTATCTCACATTATTATAACAGATTTTCATTTAATTTTTCTTTTCTTGGTTCTGTTCCTTCATAGCTTGGTCATGCATACGTAGGGTTCTTTTGAATAATGGGCAGGATGACTCCTTTCCAGTGCCTAGGGGTTGGACGAACTCGCATTAGATTAGTTTTGTTATCATTTTTGTAATTCGGTCTGCTAACGCGTGCTTGTAGTCCCAGCTTCTATCTATATTTTAAAAATAAAAAAATAAATTTTACATAAACTTATGTAAACTTACACTCATAGCCACAGGATTATGCAAAATGAAAAAATTCGGCTTTTTTATTTATTATAATTTTATTGTTAAACATCATATCAAAATTACATTCAGCTTAACAATTTACATCTGTAAGTAGTAACAATATATCTTAACTACTACAAAATAAAGCGAAAAAATCTACTACTTTAAGTGTATAACTATCTACTTATGTTAGTAACTTACTAAAAAGAACTAAATGTTGAATTAGTAACGAACTAGAGATGGCAACGGTCACCGGTCATGTGACTGATGTCGGTCAGCCAAAGACTTCTGATTGACCAGTTTGACCGACCAGACCGGATCAGACAAATCCAACCCTACTTGAGTGATTCCATTAACTTTATAAGGTACTACAATCAGTAATATATTAGAGTTATAAATATTAGTAAAAATAAAAATTTTCAACTAAATGTTTTTTAAAGCAACTCACTGGCAATTTTTTTTTTCACAAAATGGCATTACACAAAAAATGAAACCTTTGACAAATTTATCATACCTTATTTATAAATTCTAATGTGAATACTTTACTGGGTTTTTTAATATTTTCAGAATTATAAACATATTTTGATCTTTTCTTTCTAATTTTGATTTTCATTATTCCAATTATCATCATGAGGCCAATATCTATTTCCTATGCATCCATCAATCTAATTTGCTCTGTACACTTTGCTAAACTCATAGTCTGCAATATATTTAATATCATCAAGCCTATCATAGGGTATCCACTCCAATGCATTTTATGTTCTTATAGTTGAATATTTTGAGTAAATTTATAAATATGATAATTCTTGCTAGTCCAATTTTTAAAATTTTGTTTAAACCGTTTTTCGTTACATTCATGATAACAATCACATGACTTAATCAACTTTTTATCATTTTTCCATTGAGTTTATTTCAACTAAAATTAATATATAAGGAAGAAATTAAAAAATTTTTTTGCGGTAGTAAGAAAAAAAAACAATTCATCCGATGCTTTATAAATGGAAGAACAATATTTATGCATAATTATGTATTACTGAAAATTATTTATCAATCATTTTCAATTTAAACGCACGTGATATAATTAGGGCCTAATCGGTTCTGATATTCATAATACCGGCCGGAATTATATATGATATGCAGAAAATTTCCTTTTTGTAAATTTGCGTAACGACACGTGACCCGATTCGAATCGACTTCGACTTTCAGAGTCGACTCTCATAGAACCATTCGTTCCACTTGAGCTGCTCGGTTCGAAAATGGTTCCAACATTCAGCTTCAAAACTGGCTTGAGTTATCTCTAGATATAATATTAAGAAAATTGGAATGTGTTCGCTTCAAAGCCATAAATTAGATACATTGATGAAACAATTTTTTATATCATTTATATCATATATTATAAATTATCCTTTATCTAAAGCTTAATAATGTAGTGTAATAAATAACAATCAATGATATATTTAATCATGATCACATGGAAATAACTTTTGGTTCTAATTTTTCTGAAAACTTGGGGCATAAAAACTAAATTGGAAAGGAACAGAATCTCACCTAACCGAAGGTCATAAAAAAATTTATTATAATTGCTAGTAGAACCTATATAATTCTTATCTTTGGCTTGACAATGAAAAAATTTGGTTTAGTTGTTTTTATTTTAATTTATTCACAAGTTCCTTATACAACCAAAGGATGCAACCAAACACTAATTGACCTAATTGAAAAAGCAAGTGGCAATCATTTTTCCTATATCGGGAGTAAAAAAAAAGCAGTTTAACCAATTAATGGCTCAGCAATAACCAAATAAGAATTGTTTGAATTTTGTCTGAAGAAACTTGTCAAAATTTGAAGTACTCTAAGCAGAGTTATAAATACTCTAGTTGATTGGTTATTCATTGTAAGAATAATGTTCAAAATAATTTTTCTCATTATTTTTTATTTTTCAAAAATTGTTCAACTCTTTAGCTTGGAGAAAAGAATGCAGAAAAGTCTTTGTCAAAATTCAATATATGATTAGTTCGATGCCAGCATTTTATAGCGTTACATATTAAGCTTAAGCTTACGCTTTTAAGTTTAAAATTTGTATATTGAAAAAAAAGTGATGATAAAAAAGGATAAAAAAGGATAAAAAAGGATAAAATACAATATTTCTCAGTGGTTATCTTTTATGGAAGCTTATTTTCTTTTTTTAATCTGTTATTTTTTTTTTCATTTTAAAAGATTATTTGAATTAAATGGATTAAACCAATTATCTCAAGAGTAATATAATTTCTAATTATTAACGTTATGCAAAGTTCAAGAAACCTCGGGATATAAATAATGATCATCACATGATCACACGTTCAAATTTAAATTAAATTATTTTCTAATAAGCAAAAAATATGAACGAATTGTTTAATGACAATTGATAAAAAAAATTACTAGATATGTCAAAATAGTTTTTATTTACGAAATATTCATTTTATTATCAGTTATTAATTTAATAACGTTCATACAAACTTTTTTTATAAAATTGGTTAAAACCAATAGAATAAAATAAAAAAAAACATAAATATCTATTTTAATAGTAAGTACTATTGTAAAAGCTAAGAGGCTATTACTGTTATGGAAAATTGTTCTGCTATGAAAAATTATTAATGAGTGTCCCGACTTGATTCTTGATTTATCCTACTAGCTTAAATGATAAACGAATCAAAGTTATTCTGCGCTTCAAATATTATTATACTTACCAGTATATTCATCATGTGGTTTATGTCCAGTCTTTCATCTTCCTACATAAAAAAAAGCTCGAGCACGCGATTCTGTAATTCTGTAAACATGTGATTTTATTATATATGGCGCAATTGTCAAGCTTTTCTTCCAATGATTAATTGATTATATATTTTGTTATAATACTTTATTTCTCTTGAACAACTATTCTATAAAAATTTTACAAACTTATAAATAAAGTATTTGAGTATTCACTTACTAATAAATGAAAAGTTAATCACCTTAAATATCTTGATCTGTATAGTCATTTTAAAAATTCAACTTATATGTTTTAAATTTTCTTTTCATTTAACACGAAAAAATATGTTCTAATTCATAGTTTCTCGATATCTGTTTACTGGACTCATTTCATTGCTTAAAGATTACAAATAAATCAAAAAATAAACAAAGAAAGTCTGTTTCCCATAGAGTTCCTGCAAGAGTTTCAATTATTTCGAAATAGTGATTTCGTTGTTTAAAGTTTTGATATTGTGTAAAACTTCAAAGCTAATATTTTAATTTATCAAGATGTATATTTGCGTTATTGTTTCTTCCATTTAAGATCTATTTGTTATATTATTTACAAGTTGGTATCATATAGGAGGACCCAGAAATATGTATATAGGGGTCAGGTGATGAAAAAAATTTTTTACTATGAGCTGTACGCATTTTTTCAGGGCCGGAATTATGATAATGTCAGTTGGATACTATAATAGGAAATAAAATTCTGACTGGAATTATCAAAAGTAATCTAAAAAAGGAAAGATTTTCATGATTTTTTTAGTTCAAAATACGCAAACTCAAACCTGACCCTTTTATACATATTTCTGGGTCCTCATATAGGACCAATTATTATCTTCGGTAAATATGTTTATGAATTTTCACATTAAGTAAATCTATATTTGATATATTGTTGAATGTGTATTCCGATTAGTTGATCGATTATCATGTGATCAATTGCGTTCAAAGAATATTCATTATTATTGTTAGGAGAAGTATCTAACGAAATTTGTTCTTTCAAGGAATTATTGATATTTCATTTTCTAAAGAATTGTATCAGATAGAGAATTAATCATTATTATGTTGTTCCAACATATTTTGATATCAGATATCATTATTTTCGTTATTAGATTTTTGGTTCGCTTATTACTATTAGGTGTTGGTGTACTTCTATGTTGGTAGTTGTCTGAATAAGTTTCCGCTAAAATAATGTTTTCTAAGCCGATACTTGTGGATTATTCACAGTTATGTTTATCTATATTATGTTATAATAATTTCAGACAAGTTACTATTACGCGAACTCGAGTTGTGAGACATTTTTTGACAGATAATTCGCCAAACATACATAACATACCATGTTATAATTACATTATCATTATATTAATGACGAACTCTTAAATCACAATTTTACCCTCATTACGATAATCTTAATTATATGTAATTCTCATTCTAATCTTAATCTTTACGTAATATAAAATTAGAAATATTAGAGTATAGCAGTATAATAATATCTGTTAACGATTTTTATTTAATAATGAAAATTTCAGTACTACAAATAAATTTAGAAATTTTTAAAATATGTGTTTACAAATAGTAAAATATTTTTTTTAAAAAAAAAATGATATTTTTTGTTACAGAAAATCAATATTGAAAAACTAACTAATTTTAAAGAAATACTCAATTAACTTTAGTAACCTTTTAAAAAAATCTTTTGATCAACTATAATCAAAATTTTAACAAAAAGATTGTCTTACCAAAACATATCATCCGAATCTGAAGTATCCGAATCATTTATCCTGATATGTTTCATATGAGTACAATTTGATCTCTTTATTACCCCTTCTTTAATGTATTTATTAATAATATCACAATGATTTAAAGTAATATTAGATATATTACGTTGTATGATATCAAATTCATTTAAGGTTCGTACTCTATAACTCTCAAGAAATCGAGTCAAAGTATCAATAGAAAATTTCCAATCTTCACTAAGAGTTATATTAATTAAAGAATCAGGAGAAAATTCAGATAAAATATTTAATAATTCATCACCTGTATTTTCTTCATCATATCTAGGCCTATTAATATTATCAAGTCTCAAATTTTCTAAATTTTTACAATTTAATAATACAGATTTTATATTGATGAAATATTTTGGTTCGATATATGTACGTAAAAATTTAATTTTTGGACAATTTTTTGAAACTGCTTGAATTAATAATTCTGTATCTTTAGCCCATTTATCGGTAGTATAAACATAAATACGTGAAATATTTCCTTTAGTTTTCTCAATTAACATTGCCAATTCTTTAAAACATTTTAATCCAGTAACTCCAAGAATTTTAAGATTAGGAAATTCTGAATTCGAAAGACATTGTTTAAGTTTTTCAACATTATCATTGGTAGCATAAATGTATAATTCTTTTAAATTTTTCTTTTGAGAATTAATTAAAGAAATTAATTCAAGATTATCTTCAGAAAAATTATAAATAGATAAAGAATTCAAATCTTTACAAAGTTGCGCCATTCCATGAATAATTTCAGAATTTACAGATTTCATATCAATACGTAAACTATAAAGTTGAGAAAAACATTCTGAAGCACCAGGAAATGAATTTAAGGGATGAGTAGTCTGTAAATGAATTTCTCTAATATTCTTGCATTGACTAATAAATAATTTATAAATTTCTTGTTCTAAAATTTTTTTTTTATCGTCGCTTCTAATTCTTTTAAAAATTGCTCTCATAATTATTTTTATAATTTCATCTTCAGGAAAATTACAAAAACTAATATAGTTAAATGTTGGAGTAGTTTCAGGAATTATTGGAGGTATAGAAATTTCATTATCAGATAAAAATAATCTTGATGATGATGATAAAAAACTAAGTATCGTCTTGAAAACCCTTCTCATTTTTACTTCTCTAAGATATTTAACACAATCACTCCATGCATGTTTTTTCCATAAAATTGTAACTACAACGTTACACCATCTTTTATTAACTAATAGACAAGAATGTAAAGATTTCTTATCATATATTAGTTCATCAAAAATAAGATTAAGACAGTCTGAATTTAGTTCGGTTGTCATTTTTTTTTTTTTTTTAAAAAAAAAAAAAAAAAAAAATTTTTTTTTTTTGTATTATTTCTTTTGTTACATTTTTACGTTATAATGTGATACCAACATGCACACAGATTTGTAATGCTAATAAAAATTTAGTAATATCGTCGTTATATTTTTAGACACATGAGTCACATGGGAATTATTATTAATCAATGACTCAATGTCGATCATAATCATTTCGCTAGAGTTACGGATTAATTAATAGTTATTCGGTCCGGTATCACGTGATATTAAGATTGATACACGTCACCTGAATACCTTTTAAATGCCTGATGCGGCCATCCTTAACCTGATCCACCGGTCCAGATGCTTATTTTGGACCAGTCAACTTTTGATTGGCTAATTACTAGCACTTTTATTACATAGCTCCGGCATAATTTATTTTATCTCTCACTCTTCCTATCTTTCACTCTTTCTCTATTCTTTTTTGTGGTATGTTAGTACTTTTGATTTCATATTTCATTTAAGCTTATATATTTTAATTTTAATTGTATTTATTGTAGTTTTATGATAATGCTAAATGTTTTTTATTTTCTTTTTGAAGAGTTTTATGATATATTAATATTATTCTGGAAATCAAGTGTTTTTTTTTCTAAGTTTTGAGGTTAAGTAAATTACACATTNTATTACTTTGTACTTTTGTTTTGATATTAACGTTGAAATAATTTTAATAATAAAATTACAGTAAAAAATAATGTAAAGACCTTTTTTATAAAGTTATATATGCAATTTTACTTATTTATTAATAAAGTTTAATAAAATGCATACCAAAATACAAATTTTAAATAACATATTACTTTAAAACGGTAGTATTAAATGCTTTTAAAAAAAGGCATTTCATAACTTTTTTTTAAAAAAACGCGAATTGTTTTTTTTTTAAGACAAATGTTACACAAAACAATCTTTTCCAATTAGATTTGCTGGTCCAGGATAAGCATCTGGACCGTGGCCCAGGATAAGGATGCTCGCCTGATGCACGATTTTTTGCCTGATACACGATTTATTACAACCATCTTTAATTATAAAAATCACGTGATACCAGATAAACGGATTATATCCGGATACTTGCACTATCCGATGACTATCCGATGGATATTCAGGATATCCCCTAGCCAGCACTATAAGCATGGCTATCCGTTGGATATCCGTAAAATACGGATAATGGATCCATAACTCTATTTCACGCTAATAATTAATATATAAGATAAATGAATTAAGTTAATAAAAGTAAGTTTAATAGTTATTTTAATTAAAAATTGATAATTAATCATTCAATTTAATTGTCTTAATCCAATATGAAAGAATTTAAACTCAATGATAATATGATTTTGCTTAAGAAATTATAGATTTGACTATTGAAAATTAAACAAATTTTGTTGATTGATTTACTAATATTAAAATAAAAAATTAAAAGAACATTATTATAAAATTTATGGTTTATGCATAAACTAATTGGTTTCAGGCATTTATAAATACTAAACATTTTCAAAAAATTTCAAAAAATTGGTCTAGTGGAAATAATAAAATTAATAAGTTTATTCAAAAATACAAATTAAAATTTTTGATGATTCTTTTTTTGTAAGATATGTAAGATATCACTTTCTTTTTTTTTTTTAATGAAAAAAAACTTTAAATTAAAGGAACAGCGTTAATGTAGAACTTATAAAATAAAAATTAAAATATGGTAAAAGAGATATATAATTTATAGAAAATAGAAAAAGAGGATGAGTTTTTGATAAATTATAAAAAAAAAGTCCTTTTGACTTTCTTTAGTAAAAATATTTTACTAAAAAAAAAATTAAAAACAATTCTTACCTCAAATAATCCTCATACAATAAATAATATTGACATAAAAATTTTAGTTATATGAATGACTGGATAAATAGATGAAAAAACTAATTTAATTAACTTATATGAATTATTTTTTGAATATCTTAATCAATATAATACGTCTAAATTTATTTCAAGAAGTCTTCCATAGTAGATTATTTAGAGATTTTTGTAAATTAAATGCTTGATAAATCCCTTAATTAATATAGATTACTGCACAGTTTGAAAATCATATTGATATCTATAATTCTATTTATACAAAATTTCATCAAAATGATATATATAGTAAGAAACAAATTTGCTAGTAAAAATATAATTCATTATATTTATAAATAAACAATTAATATGGTTTATACAGTTCACCCTCGCTATAGTGAATCCCTTGGGCTGGAGGTTAAAATTCATTATAGTGAGAGAATTCACTATAGAAAATAGAGAATAAAGATAAAATTTTCACTATATATCAAAATTTATTATATTCACGTGACTTATATATATTTTCTTTATTTTTTATTGATATGATAGCAAAATGTAATCATAAAAGCCTAACTCATTAAAATATGAATTTTTAGAGTTGTGAAAATTTTGCGTATAACAAGTATCGTGTAATAAAAATTTATTAATGATCTGTGTAACTCTTTAAAAATTAAAATCCTATATAGCGAGGGTCATTTTATTATATTTGTTTAAATTCGAATTACAAAATATTAATATGAAAATTCATTATATGATTATAAAAAAAATCTGTACTGGAGCTTTTCTTCATTATATCAAGGTATTCACTATAAAAAATTCGTTATAGTGAGGGTAAACTGTATTATGAGATCTTATTAATCTAATACTAAAAGTAACTCATTAAAATATTTCACCACTCCTTCATTAATATATTTTCTAAACATAATTTTATGATCATTTGTAATAGCATAATTATAACTATCATTAATACCAAAATGATACAAAGGCCATTCTCTAAAATTTTCAAAAAATCGGTTAAAAGCATCAATTGAATACTTCCATAATCCACTTTGGAGAAAATGAGATAAAAATATTTAATAATTCATCTCCTATATTATTATCATTTTCATTTATAAAAAAATCTAAACTTTTTAAATCTATTGTTTTTAAAAATCTACAATTTAATAATAATGTTTTAACATGAATAAAATCTTTAGATCCAATATATGTACGTAAATAATTAATCTTTGGGCAATTATCAGCAATTGCTTTAATTAGAATTCCTGCTTCTTTAGCAGTTTTATTGATAGAACAAATATCAATTTTTGAAATATTTCCCATAGTTTTTTCAATTAATAAAGAAACCTCTTTAAAGTTAGATAAATGACCATACATAAATGTTAGTTGTTGAAGGTTTGTAAATTCATAAATTGCTTGAACTTTTTTATAATTTTCCCAATGAAAAATTGTTAACTTTTTAGATTTACAAGTATTGTTAAAGGTGAAAGTACAATATTATCAATTGAGCTTAGATGAAGATTATTTATAGTAGTTCTATTTCTTGCTAATGCTTTGCTTAGCTCTTTGCCAGTCTTTTCATCAACCTTAGTATCAAGAATTAGTTTTTTAAATTCCTCTGGGCATCAATCAAGTAAAATAATTCAGGATTATTACGAGAACAACTTTTGATAGATAAAGTATTTAAATCTTTACAAATTTGTGCTAGCTCATAAAGAGCATCAGAATTCACATAACCAATATCAATATCTAACTTATAGAGTTGAGAGAAGAAAATTGATGCTCTTGGAAATAAAGTTAAAGGTTGACAAGTTTCCCAATATAAATATTTAACATTTTTACATTGACTAATAAATAACTTGTAAATTTCTTGCTTCATAAGATTTCTTCTATGATCATTACAAAGGTTCTTCAACACTATATCAATGATTTTGTTCATATTATTAGAGGATATATATCTGCAAAAACTGATATAATTAAATAATGGAAATTTTAAGAGTGTTGAAGGAGGTAATTTAATATTATTGTCTAGTGCTTCGATCCGGGTAGAAACTGTTATCCGGATAAATTAAAAAAATTATCCGGTTTTTATCCGGATTATCCAGTTCGGATATAAATCCCGGATAGAAACCAAAACCCGGATAAGATTATATATAAATTTTTTTTTTCATTGATCTTAACAAATAATATCAGTCACATTAACTTAATTAAATTTTGACTTAATATTTTTAACTAAATTAGTGATATTTTATTAATTTTAAATTAAATAAATTTTAATTTACGAATTTTGCCTGAATTATGACAATTTTTTGAAAATTTGAAAAATGTAAAATTTTGCAATAAATACATTATTACAAATATAAAAAATACAGTAAAATCGTAAAATAATGGAAGATTAGGCATGAACTAATTATTTTTATTGTAATTATACTATTTTGTACTTAAAATTAATCAATTCAACCTATCTATTAGAAAAAATCTTTTTTTTTAAATCATGTATCAACAGTAATTTGGGCCAAACATATAATTGCGGCCAAAATTACAAAAATCCCAAATTTTGTTTATCTGGGCCGGAAACTGCTGCCTCTTGACAAATATCAAGCAATTTCGCAAAATTCGGGCTGGCATTATAGATGGCCTGAATTATTACTGACCATCGAATGTTCTACTAGTAATTTTAGCAAGATAGATTTGATCTTAATAAATGGTAATTTAATAGATAATAATGTCAATAAATAAGTAATTTAAATGACAAAAAAAATTTTTTATAATTTTTTTTATCTGGATAACGGGTCAAACTGGATATTTTCTGACTGGATATTTATCCGGATAAAAACCGCGGTATTCGGATAGCTATTTTTTTTTCCAGATATCCAGATACCGTAGTTTTATCCATGCACGGATTGAAGTCTGATAAAAGTTTTTTTGAAGAGGATGGTAAGAAAGAAAGTATAACATTGCAAAGTTTTTCATTTATTTCATCTAGTGAATAACTCTTCCATAAGATCGGAACTACAAGGTTACACCACTTTTTATTAACTAAAAGACAAGAATGTAAAGACTTCTTATCATTTTTTAATATATTAAAGATAAGAACAAGACAATCAAAATTGATTTCTTCCATTATTTAGAGTTTTTATGTTTTAAAAGAGATTCCCATATAAATTGAAAGTTATCATAATTAAATATATTCTATATTAGTCAATATGATTAATTAACATCTACTTGTTAAAAAAGTAAGATTCATAATGACGTAATTATGTGTCTTTTTGATTTACATATAAAAATTATCTTTTTTAATTTTTTTTAGACATTAGGATAAACATTAAGTGGGTAGTAGTTGTTAATAAGATCTCTTAATAATAGAAATCATATAATGCAAAATATAATGAATAATATTCTTATTAGCAAATTTTTTTTCTTAATATCTTTTTATAAGAGAAATGAGATTATAGATATCAATATTTATAAACTGTGCAGCAACTTATATTACTAATTAATTTATTGGGCATTTATACTATTGAAGACTTTTAAATAATTTAGACGTATTATATTGACTGATATAAGTTAATCAAATTAGTTTTTTCACTTATTTATCCAGTCATTCTTATAACTTAATTTTTATGTCAATATTATTTATTGTATGCAAACAATACAGGATTACTTGAGGTAAGAATTGTATTTATACTAATTTATCAAAAACTCATTCTTTTTCTATTTTTTATAAATTATCCATATTTTTAACTTTATTTTATAAATTCCACATTAAATGATTGTTTCTTAAATATACAAAAAAAAGTTTTTTTCATTAAAAAAAAGAAATTGATATCTTACAAAAAAAGAATCATCAAAAAGCATATCTACATGCCAAAATTGCATGGATTAACTATACTTATGTTTTTAATTTTAGCTTTAATTTGTATTTTTGAATAAACTTATTAATCTCATTATTTCCACTAAACCAATTGTTAAAATTTTTTGAAAATGTTTAATATTTATACATGCATGCCTGAAACCAATTAGTTTATAAATTTTGTAATGTTCTTTTAATTGTTATTTTAATATTAGCATATCAATCAACAAAATTTGTTTAATCTCCAGTAGTTAAAACCATCAGACAACTTAATTGAATGATTAATTATCAAATTTTTTAAAATAACTTCTAAACTTTTTTGAACATAAAAACAAAATATTCTCATATATCAGTTTCATAAAAATAAAAAATAAAGTTTTATTGATCATCTAATATATACTAAAACAACTATAATAAATCCTCTTATATTTGATTAAAATTTTCGTCAAATAGTATCTGTACTTTTCACCACTCCTTCATTAATATATTTTCTAATTATAATTTTATGATCATTTGTAATATAATTATCACTATCAATAAAACCAAAATAATACAAAGGATGTTCTCTAAAACTTTCAAAAAATCTGGTAAAAGCGTAACTTGAATACTTCCATAATCCACTAATAACTATCTCATTTAAAGATTTTGGAGAAAATAAGGTAAAAATATTTAATAATTCGTCTCCTATATTATTATCATTTTTATTTATAAAAAATTCTAAACTTTTTAAACCTATTGTACTTAAAGATCTACAATTTAATAATAATGATTTTATATGAATAAAATCTTTAGGTTCAATATATGTATGTAAATAATTAATCTTTGGGCAATTATCAGCAATTGCTTTAATTAGAATTCCTGTTTCTTTAGCAGTTTTATTGGTAGTATCAATGTAAATTTCCGAAATATTTCCTATAGTTTTTTCAATTAATAAAGAAATCTCTTTAAAGCTAGATAAATGACCATACATTAATGTTAGTTGTTGAAGGTTTGGAAATTCATAAATTGTAAGATATTGTTGAATTTTTTTATAATTTTCCCAATGAAAAATTGTTAACTTTTTTAGATTTACAAGTGTTGTTAAAGATGAAAGTACAATATTATCAATTGAGCTTAGATAAAGATTATTTATAGTAGTTCTATTTCTTGCTAATGCTTTGCTTAGCTCTTTGCCAGTCTTTTCATCGACCTCAGTATAAAGATTTAGCTCTTTTAAATTCCTCTGAGCATCAATCAAGTAAAATAAATCAGGAATATAATGAGAACAACTTCTGATAGATAAAGTATTTAAATCTTTACAAATTTGTGCCAGGTCATAAAGAGCATCAGAATTCACATAATCAATATCAATACTTAACTTATGGAGCTGCGAGAATAAAATTGATGCTCCTGGAAATAAAGTTAAAGGCTGACGCGTTTTCCAAGATAAATATTCAATATTTTTACATTGACTAATAAATAACTTGTAAATTTCTTGCTCCATAAGATTTCTTCTATGATCATTACAAAGGTTCTTTAACACTATATCAATGATTTTGCTCATATTATTAGAGGATATATATCTGCAAAAACTGATATAATTAAATAATGGAAATTTTAAGAGTGTTGAAGGTAATTTAATATTATTATCTGATAAAAGTTTTTTTGAAGAGGATGGTAAGAAAGAAAGTATAACATTGCAAAGTTTTTCATTTATTTCATGTGGGCAATATTTCTTCCATAAGATCGGAACCACAATGTCACACCACTTTTTATTAACTAAAAGACAAAAATATAAAGACTTCTTATCATATTTTAATATATTAAAGATAAGAACAAGACAATCAAGATTGATTTCTTCCATTATTTGAAATTTACAATTTTTTGAGAGATTCCCATATAAATTGAAAATTATTATAATTTATAAATAGTATACTTTATAATTTTTTGAAATATTATTATAAACCTAGATACAGTGGCTTTTAAATATATTTGAAATAATTGTATTAAAATAATATTGAAGTACTACATTACAATAATAAAATAATTATAAAAATATTAAAAATTATTGTTGAATTATTTTTATAGAACCGGATAAAGTACAATTACAAAATAATAACAAAAGTATGATAAAAGTATTTTAATATATTAAATGTATCTTAATTATATTTCAAATAATTATAAAACTAATTCAAAAAAATAATATTTTTAGCTAAGTATTTTATTATCAATTAACATTTTACTTGTTGAAAAAATAAGATGTCATAATGACGTAATTATGTGTCTTTTTGACAATAACTCTTTGCATACTATAATATCTAAAAATTATCATTCTTAATTTTTATAGACATTAGGATATACATTAAGTGGGTAGTAGTTAATAAGAACTCTTAATATAAATCATGTTATATAAAATATAATGAATTATATTATTATTAGCAAATTTTTTGTCTTATATCTTTTTATAAGAGAAATGAGATTATAGATATCAATATTTACTACAAACTGTGCAGCAACTTATATTACTAAATAATTTATCAGGCATTTAATTTATAAGAATCTCTAAGCATATTTGAGAAATTAGAAATAATCATGACTGAATATAAGTTAATCAAATTAGTTCTTTCACTTATTTATCCAGTCATTCTTGTAACTTAATTTTTATGTCAATATTATTTATTGTATGCAAACAATACAGGATTTATTCCTATATACTAAAAAAGTCAAAAGGATTTTTTTAAAAAAATTAATTTATCAAAAACTCATTCTTTTTTCTATTTTCTATAAATTATATCTCTTTTACCATATTTTTAACTTTTATTTTATAAGTTCTGCATTAATGATTATTTCTTATATACACAAAAAAAAAAAGTTTTTCTCATTAAAAAAAAAAAAGAAATTGATATAAAAAAAAAAGAATCATCATATACCTACAGTACATACCAAATTGGCATGGATTACCCTATCCTTAATTTTTATTTTTAAATAAACTTATTAATTTCATTATTTCCACTAAACCAATTTTTAAAATTTTTTTGAAAATGTTTCTGCATATACCATAAATTTTATAATTTTTTTTTTAATTTTTATTTTAATATTAGTATATATAATGATAATAAATCAACAAAATTTGTTTAATCTCCAGACTCCAGCAGTAGTTAAAATCTATAATTTCTCAAGCAAGTTTAAATTCTTTCATATTAGATAGATTAAGACATTAAATTGATCAATTTTTTACTTAAAATAACTTTTAAACTTTTTTGAATGCAAAAATAAAATATTTCTCATATATCAGTTTAATAAAAAATAAAAAATAAAGCTTTATTCTGAGTTTATTGATAATTTAATACTAAAACAACTATAATAAATCCTCTTATATTTGAATAAATTTCCAATTAGAACATTTCACCACTCCTCCATCAATATATTTTCTAACTATAATTTTATGATCAACTGTAATATTATTATAACTATCATTAATACCAAAATAATGCAAAGGATGTCCTCTAAAACTTTCAAAAAATCGGTTAAAAGTGTCAATTGAATACTTCCATAATCCACTAATAGATATATTATCTAAAGATTTTGGAGAAAATAAGATAAAAATATCCAATAATTCATCTCCTATATTATTATCATTTTCATTTATAAAAAATTCTAAACTTTTTAATCTTAATTTTCTTAAAAATCTACAATTTAATAATAATGTTTTAACATGAATAAAATCTTTAGGCTCAATATTTGTATCTAAATCACTAATCTTTGGGCAATTAACAGCAATTGCTTTAATTAAAATTCCTGCTTCTTTAGCAGTTTTATTGGTAGCTGTAATGTGAATACTTGAAATATTTCCTATAGTTTTTTCAATTAATAAAGATATCTCTTTAAAGCTAGGTAAATGAACATTTGTTAATATTAGTTGTTGAAGGTTTGGAAATTCAGAAATTGCAAGATATTGTTGAATTTCTTTATAATTTTTCCAATGAAGAATTGTTAACTTTTTTAGATTGACAAGTGCTGTTAAAGATGAAAGTACAATATTATCAATTGAGTTTAGATAAAGATTATTTATAGTAGCTCCATTTCTTTCTAATGTTTTGCTTAGTTCTTTGCCAGTCTTTTCATCAACCTCAATATCAAGAATTAGTTTTTTTAAATTCCTCTGGGCATCAATCAAGTAAATTAATTCAGGAATATTACGAGAACAACTTTTGATAGATAAAGTATTTAAATCTTTAGAAATTTGTGCTAGCTCATAAAGAGCACCAGAATTCACATAATCAATATCAATACTTAACTTATGGAGCTGCGAGAATAAAATTGATGCTCCTGGAAATAAAGTTAAAGGTTGACGAGTTTCCCAAGATAAATATTTAACATTTTTACATTGACTAATAAATAACTTGTAAATTTCTTGCTCCAAAAGATTTCTTCTATGATCATTACAAAGGTTCTTTAACACTATATCAATGATTCTGTCCACATTATCAGAGGATATATATCTGCAAAAACTTATATAATTAAATAATGGAAATTTTGAAAGTGTTAAAGAAGGTAATTTAATATCATTATTTGATAAAAGTTTTTTTGAAGAGGGTGGTAAGAAAGAAAGTATAACATTGCAAAGTTTTTCATTTATTTTAAATGGGTAATATCTCTCCCATAAGATCGGAACTACAATGTTACACCACTTTTTATTAACTAAAAAAAAAGAATATAAAGACTTAATATCATATTTAAATATATTAAAGATAAGAATAAGACAATCAAAATTGATTTCTTTCATTATTACAATTTTTTGAAAAAGATTCCCATATAAATTGAAAATTATTATAATTAAATATATTTTTTTTGCACACTATATAAGTCAATATAATTAATTAACATCTACTTGTTAAAAAAGTAAGATTCATAACGATGTGTCTTTTCGCCAATAACTCTTTACACATACACATAATATATAATAATAATGAGTTATTATTTTTAGTAACGAATATATTGTTTTAAGTTAAATCACAAAATAATAATTTTTCTCCTTTGTTTAATTTTTTAATCTAGTTAGTGTGGTTTTAAATATGATTCATATGATTCAGTGTGATTCAGATATGAAATATCGAAAGATAAAATAATATTAATAAAACAAAGTCAAAATATAAGAATGTCTTAAATCTTTAATCCTTATTAACAAAATTTCTAATTGTTTAATCGCTTTTTATTATTGTTTTTTAATTTTTATAATTACTTAATCGTTTATTAATAGCTAACACATCATATTGATGACATTTTTTTTTTAATATTAATAGAACACGCGATTGTGATTAATATTTTGATTTGTGAAAATCGGTTTAAAACAGGAATGAACAAAGCTGTTATTACCTTTTAAGCAAAACAAGCTATTTTTATTTCAAAGAATACATCAGGTGTCGCTAAAAGTAAATCTTTGATTATGTCATATATTTTATAGTGATTTTGTAGTTATTATAGCTCGTAATGAAATAAGTAAAATAGATATTTAATCATTTACATTTTTTTCGCATTTCACGACGGATTGTTCGTAATAAGAATTGTTCGTTATCAAATCATAATTTAAATAAGATTACGAGTTTGTGACATTAAAAATTTCTTTTGAGAAAATCAACCATTCTGAGAAACGCCAATAATTCTTGATGATGAATTTATTAATACCATTATTATAATAAAATTTTGAATCACTAGAGTAAAAAAAAATCAAGTTAAAGCCATACATATTAAATTCGAATTTTATGAAAACTATCATTAATTTCGGTAATTTATGTAGAAAAATACATTATATATTTTTACGATTTTCAAGGATAACGGTTTTGAAGTTTTTTTGTCATTTGATTGATACTATATAATTCATTAAAAAAAATCTATACCAAGTTTTGATAAAGCTTAGGTCAAATTCTAGATAATTAAAGTTTCAAATATATTGATTTTTTCATTAGCAATTGATATAGAAAATTATTAACTAGTGTCAATCAGATATATTTTACTCAATTAAAAAAAAAATATGATAGTTTTAATTACGACACCAGAAACAATCCGTGTGATGACCCACAGCTTATGCGAACAATTTCTTTATCCTCAAGTTCATTCAAGTTTGGAATCTGAAATGGCGATGTCACATCATCATCCGTTTCATTTCCCAAAACACAATATTCTCCAAATCCCCAAGCATAAATATTGTTACCGTCATCTACCGCCATTGAAAAATTATCTCCTGTTCCTATTAATTTTATTGATGAAAGATTTGGGATGATAGTTGGTATCACTACTCTCGCTTTAGACTCTTTAGGCTGCAATTTTGTAACTTCATCACCTAGACCAAGTTGACCATAATCACTACGTCCAAAGACATAAATATTTCCACTTTGCATACGAGCAAGGGTATGATGTTGACCAACAGCGAACTCTTCAACCTTTTGACCTTTAAAGAATGAATGTTTTTCTGGAGGGATGATAGCTTGTCTTATTGTATCAAGACCACATTGTCCCATATTATTAAAACCAAAAACCCATACTTGATCATTTTTGTCAATTGCAAAGTTGTGATATGATCCAGCGTACAATCGAACGATATGTTTTAATCCTAGATTAAATGGCTCGAGTGATCTACGTTCCGAGTATTTTCTTCCAAGACGATGAGCCTCATCATTTCCCCATGCATACACATCTCCTTCTCTGGTAAGCGCTAAAACATGATCTTCACCTGCTGCTATATCAACAATTGTTAAATACATAAAGGGCTTACATTGTGTGAATATTGGCTCTTCTGTACGATTATCTTGAGAAAACCCTAAAATTCCATCTTTGTCCTAAATTCATTTTATGTAGGAAAAATTTTTTACGTAAGAATCGCAAATTTATTTATGTAACATACAAATGCATAAATATATATATATATCAGTAACCTTGAAAGTTCCGGCCACATATAAATGACCTTGATCAGATATAACGAACGTAGCGTTTCCTCCGCATGCTATTTTTACGATATTGGCATCATCAAGACCTTCAGCGTATGCAGGTTTCCCCTCTTCACCTATATCGAAGTTTCCTGCCTCCAAAATTGCCTTATTCCCTGCTGAATTAGGAGTTTCAGTGAAACGACCAAGTGCACCTTTGCGATTATATATAAAAAAAGGTTAAAAAAAAATCAATATACGATCAAAGGTATTTAGTTATTAACTTACCATGATCGTTACATCCCCACGTTACAACTTTACCATCAACAGTAAGCGCTGCATTATGAAGAGATCCTGCGCTTATATCGACAATATTGAAATTATCTAAAGAACTAATAATACTTAATTTTGTAGCTTCGGTAACTTGGGAGTCTTCTATACCACATTGAGATAATTCATTTGAACCAATAGCGTAAAGCCGACCAATTTTTTGTGAACGAGTAGGAATGGGTATAGTAAAAGTGTCACCCTTTCTACGTTTAGGTCTCAATATTTTCCCGTGATCAGCACGATTTTCACGCTTTCTTGGTTGCCTTGCAAGAGTACTTTCAGTGGCAGGGAGAATAACGGTTAAAGCTGATTTAGGTGGTCTTCCCCGCCTTTTAGGTTGATTAGATTGTTGCATAGTAGTAATAGCCTGAGGATTTTTAGGTGGCCTCCCCCGCCTTTTAGGTTGTACAGCAGTATTAACAACTTGAGAAGCTATATTATCCCGATTTACAGCTTGTGAGTCTTGAACATTAATATTTGAATCAACAGATGATACTACTTGTGTAGATTTGAACTTTTTAGGAATGATAGTGACTGATTTTGTAACACAAACTTTTGAAGGAGAAACTCCGGTGACTTCTTCACTAACTTCTTTGCGTTTCCTTACATTCCGAACAGTGGCAACTGAAGAAATATCGGAAACTGAAGAAATGTCGGAAGCTGAAGAAATAGTTGGCGCAGCTATAAGAGATCTGTCTGACATAATGATAGCAGCATTTTGAGCATTGCGTGTTACTTGAATTCGAGTGGAGCGTCTGATATATTTTGTGCCATTTGTAGGTACTTGAGCAGCTTGTTGTTTGAGATAAGTTCTTTTTCCAACCATTTTAATAGATTTTAACAAAAATTAATATTTATAAGAAAGGTTTTTGAGTATAAAATAATCATTTATGTAAAAAAAATGATTAAATCAAGAAAAGAGAGAATTTCAAAAAAAAAAAATAAAATCTTTTTTATATGCTTCCCAACGATTTTATCGCGCCCAATAGAAAAACGATAATTAATAGAGATAAATATCACGAACTATTGAATCGCGATCTTATTGTTCTTTATTTATAAATGACTATTAATGATACGTGATACATACAATATATATAAATATTAATCATTTACACGTGCGCAGAAGTGATAGGTTAGATCAGGAGTAATTGATGCAATAATGTACGTTTAATAGTTAATACTACAACTCTATCAGGATCGATACCTTTACCACATGTGCTTCACATGGTTAGTTTATATGTCGAAATATTTTGTACGATGTTCTACCTTTAAAGAATCCGGTCTAAACGAGTTAGTTAAAAAAAAATATTAGTATATATATATACTATATAATATGATTAATTTTGGAATAAATGGGATTACAAATTCACAATACATCGCATTCCAAGTATTATTTGATTATTATTACCGCAGAAGTCTTAATAAAAAACTTTTGTTAATTGAATTAATAAGATTCAATGATTCATTATGATCCACAGTGTTTTATTATTGAAAGTGATCAATGAGTCATAACAGATTTTTCTAGTACTCGTATTGCTTTTTGATAATCTTTTTGTCTAAAGCCACAATCTTAATAATACCGAAATAATAGAAGAATTATATACTTGTAGCTATTGTTTTTAAAAATTAAACAGCCAAGTTTTTTTTTTTTTTTAACGAAAAAAAAAAAAAGAAAACACATGTAACATCTTTAAGATCAGATTAAAAGGTAAATATTGCTAAATTATTTTAATCTCTTTTATTTTATAACTTTAGAGTTACGTGACGTTAAAAATAATTTGGTTAATTTGGTTATCAATGATAGGCAATATTCAAGCTAATGATAAACTTTTTCATGCACTCGGAAGAATAATAATGGGAATACAATGATTTTAGAATAGTTTAATTTTACTAATATATAATAAATATATCTTTCATAAAGTATATTTAATATTAATGGCATCTATCAAAAAGATGTTTAATTTCAATGTATTTTATTTGTTGTTAAAAAAAAATAAATAAACAAATAAAATGAAAATAATAAAAATAACGATAAAAAAATTATACGCGTTAATATTTGTGATACAAATTTTTATTGTTAAGTTATTCGTAAGAATTATAACTATTAGTTATGGTGTTCTGGCAACAATTAATTACCTTCTTAACCCTGTATAATATCCCTTCTTGACCACCCTATAGCAACACAATACATGCGATAATACAAGATAGTAAAAGTAATAATATAATTACGAAGGACTTATTGTATATAGGACAATAGGAGATAGGACAATAGGAGATATTGTGTCAATTCTATGATGCTTATAATTTAGCTTAAAAATTTTATTAATGTTATTTATTTAATTCTACATAACATCATTCTCGTCTACCTTTTTGATCATTCTATATCATTCTATTATATATACATATAAAATTGCAATTCAAATTACTATAGATAAAGGTTGGCTTAATAAATCTCACTTACGTCCAACTTATTTTAAGTTTCTAATGTTAAACAAAATCTTTAAAAAAAACATATCAGAATAAAAAATTTATAATTTGGTATTGTTACCACCTAGATCAGAAGGTAGTGACAGGCCCTATAAAAAAAGTGGATATGTTTTTTAGTTTATACCGACGGATACGTTTTGTATACTAAGAGATACGTTTAGGTATGTTTTTTATACCGAGTTTGAATTGTTCATTTTTCCGTATCTTGCAAGGTACGTTTTTCATCCCTATAAAAAATTCCTGGAAAACTCCGATGAATGATCATTTTTCTAGTTTTTACACCAGAAAAACTCAGACATGTGACCAATTTTCTAAAGAAATTGTAATACATTTAATATTATAAAATCTATTATAAGATATCCCATTCTAATCGGAAGATTTTTTGCTGATATACTCCTGTGCGACAAAAATATGCGGATCACCGGTCAGGTCTGTGCGACATATTAATTTCACATAAAATCGAAAAGAAATTACTTTATCTATTTTTTTCCCGAACAAACATGAGAAAAAAGTGAAAGAGGTCTAGTTGCAACACTGGCTTTCCCAATAAGTTAATAGTGACGACAAAACCATATGCTATGAAGGGCCGAGAACTTTGCAATTTCGAATCTATAGGAACTAACTTTCTTTGCGTCTTGGGGGTAGATCTTTATGTGAAAAGGTATGAAGATTCCGTATTCATGTGCTTTCAAAGCTTTCTTGTCATCATACGATAATACTAATCACTCTTCTTATCTCCTTATCTTTTTCAGCAAGAAATAAAGTGTGAAGGAGTATATAGAAGTTCAGTCAACTTTCCCGCAAAAATCATTCCCGTAAAAATAACGCAAAAACAAGGTATGTATATGCCAGAAGTTGTGTATGCATGGGAGCAAGTTTTTCTCACTATGGGACTTGTATTTAGGTATCAAAATGACCGATGAAAAAATCGTCTTATTGTTCCTATAGGAAAACTTATGAATATTCCTTGCGTTAAAGTAATACAAACGATTACATTTAACAAACATGATGGTACTAGCGAACTCAAGGTTGCAATTCAAAGCATATTGGGCACCATTTAATCATATCCCTCTCAAAATTTGTATAATTCAAGCCGGAAGCGTTATTGAAAAAGCAAATGGAACTGTATGATTTTATTTCCGATATTTTTACTGAGGCCGGTAACGTTTATCTAGTATTATGAGAGCGGGTCAAGTGTAATGATACATTTGCAACATAAAATCATATTACTGGAACGCTTGCTTTTCCATCCCAGAAATAATTTTTTATTTCACTCCGGAACGTAACGTAACACTATTTTTATCCGATTCAAATATCCCTATAAAAACGTAACACTATGAATACTCCTGCTTTTACCTCCACTTCTGTAACTGCTACTGGAATTGTTGGCGGACGAAGTCAAAAAATATGACACGGCTGAACTTATCTCTTTTTTGCGGGGACGGGACTTAGTGCTTGACGAGGACAATGAAAAAATCCTTCGTAAGGAAAAAATTATTGGCCGGGACTTTCTCGACTTGACCCGGGAAGAGCTTGAACAAAATGTTATGAAATTGAGGCCGACAAAAAGACTCGAAAGTTCGCTAAGGAGTGTAAGGAGAAAAATTAAGGGTTTTTTCGACGTACAAGACCAAGAAAGACTTGTGTGAAGTGCTACGCAAGTACGGAATCGACACCAATGATATAAGAAAGATCCCACCTTTCATACCAGAGTCTGTAAGAATTGACATAAGGACGAGGAGTTGGAGCAGTGTGTAACTGAGATAAAACGCAAAATGGTATCATAAGCTCAACAACAAACGGTAACGAAGCTGTGCGTTGTGAATGATTTCCGTTATATTGTATGAATCCATTTTCATCGCCAGAAAAATTACCGAAAAACGAATTACCCTACCCTCAATTTTGAAGTTGTTGGTGAAGAGGCGTCTGGTCGAGTTGATTATGCAATCAAAAAAATCATAGATGTCGTTAATGAAGAGCTGGTAGCTATAACTGAGGGTAAACAAAAGGATTTTGTGGCGGGTTTCGTAACAAAACGTACTAATGCTTCCCATCATACAAATACAAGAAAGAAGAAGCGTTCGATGATTTCGACTATCTATATGAATTCGTTACCACAAGTAGGTTCGATATGGCTTCTTGGTAGAAAAGGTGCGTTACTAACTTTATTGTTTTTCTATAATAGCTACGAACCAGTACTTCCTCTTGTATACACCAGAAAGGATTTATTGCTCGAAATCCGACTATTCACATCGCTTACCCTCCGAGGGTATTTTAGATGACGACACAAAACTTCGCCAAGGTGTGAAGGAGGTTATGGGAGTAATCGTAGATTTGTTGAAGGATAGGGTCGAAGTTGGTGACTCTCCAGATAGTAAGGGAGCAAGGACGAAAAAATTTATTAAAGAATAATCGTGTAGCCTGTATAGAAAATTCATGTAGTCCCAAGCTTTGTATTTATTTGCATATATTAATAAAATTTTTTTCTTGGCAAAAAAGCGTTCTCCCAGGAAATGATCAGCCGGCATAACGTAATTTTACTTGACTGTTTCTATATATGTATATACTAACGAATTTTGAATATTTCCGTTATTGTATAAAATTTATCGAACATGTCGCCGGAAGGAAGAAGGTGATTGAGACTATGAATTGAGGCTCTTAAGACTGAGAGGCCTCCCAAAATAATGTCTGTTAAACAAGCTCTTGAACTTATATCATTCGAAGATAAAGAGATCATTATCAGTTATTATAATTAGTTCGAAGCGAAGGACTATATACAAGCGGTGACACGAGATTTCTGTCTGTCCGCCCGCTCCTTTGGTTACGCCGGTAATTATAATGCTTCGGACTATCTAACGGTTCCCGTTTCCTAGTTACTTTAATAGGGCCGAAATTACCTAGTGAAGTCATTAATTTTTGGGCGCAGTATTATATTTAGTTTAAATGTATAAAATTTTGGTGTTTTGACCTTAAACTACCATCATTAACTCAACCAATGAACCAATGAGGATAAATATTTTTATTGATATTAATTATTTATTCAGGGATCGGGTAATTAATATAAGTGACGTAAATACCCTGGAAAATGATCTACATAATCGTGACGAAGGGCAATAGAAATGAACGAATAATTTATAGTCTTTTAATAAGACCCAGAAATATATATATAGGGGTCAGGTGATGAAAAAATATTTTTACTATGAGCTGTACGCATTTTTTCAGGGCCGGAATTATGATAATGTCAGTCGGTTACTATAATAGGAAATAAAATTCTGACCGGCATTATCAAAAATTATCTAAAAAAGGAAAGATTTTCATGATTTTTTTAGTTCAAAATACGCAAACTCAAACCTGACCCTTTTATATATATTTCTGGGTCTTCTTTTAATTGGTTTTTCTTTGGGAATTTTAAATGGAAATTATCATTTTAATTGGTTACTTAAACTTCATAAATATAGTAATTGGGATTTTGTTAGAAATTGGGCTTTGAATTTACTTTCTTTCTTGAATTTTTCATTTATTATTAACTTTTATTTTTATTCTGAAACTCGGGAATTATTATAATTTTTATCGAATTTAATAAAATTTATTTTTATAACTTGTGGTGGTGAACGTCTTTATGACGGGCTCAAGTTCTACAGCAACAATAAAATACATCCCTCCTATTTTAAAAAAAAATCTTTACCGAAATTTTCTATCAAAAAAAAAAAAAATGAAATGAAATGAAA